TATATATATATACATACATATATATACATACATACATATATATACATACATATATATATACATACATATATATGCATACATATATATACATACATATATATATACATATATATATACATATATATATATATATATATATATATATGGGTTTAAACAAAAGAGTCATACCATTGAAGGAATAAGTCATATATAAGGCTGTCATCAGAATAAAGTGCTTTAGTTAGAGATGGTGAATGTCCAAGCAGAAAACTGTAAATAAGAATATCAATTTTAAAGTTTAGTCGAGCCTTGTTCACAAATCTTATTGCAATATATTGGTATCAAATACATTTATAAACAACAATCAAGTTTCTTACTTGTCTCTTGGAGGTCCAGGTATATGATCATATTTCTGATGAATATGATGAACGTACAGGCAATATGCAAAGAATGCTGTAAAAACAGCAGCGAGCAGGTACAAAATGATATAGAAGATCCATTCTGAGATCATGATTGCTTTGTGCTGTAGCTCAGTAAACGTCTGCACACTGCCTATAACTACTATCAAATGTCACACGAATGCAAGCTGAGCTGCATGCAATGCTTTTAATGCGCACACCTAACCCCACCCCTGACCCTAATCTCTCACAGTGACGTCACTGGCACTATTATGTGCGTTGTGGATGACGTCACAAGTTGGAGATATGCTATCTCAGCCTACAAATGCAAGGCTGCATCCAGATTCTATTGGACGAATGACAATAAAGTCACTTCCAGGTTTATGTTCGATAGAGGGCAGTGCTTCCTTCAACATTCTAAGGAAAACTGGGACCTTTTCAACCAACATAAGCATTTTGTAAAAAAATAAATAAATAAATAAAAGATGTTGAAAACTTACAGAAATGTTGGTGAGCAGACTAAACTGTTTTTGTGTGCCGATTCTATTTCATTGAACTATTTGTAACTTTGATTTGTCGAAATACAAATATCTGAGGCTACTATATACTTATTATTAATTTTTCAGCTGATCTGACAACAAATTAGATTTAATGCCTGTGATATTACAGAAGCAACTTTTATTTTTAAATCACACAGAAAAGCTAATTCCTGGAGACTGTCAGTGGTGGAACGAGTACTGAAGAATCATACCCAAGTAAAAGTACAATTACTTGCCCAAAAATGTAGTGCAAGTAGAGTGAAAGTATCTGCTGTAAATATTACTCAGAGTATGAGTAATACTTTCGAAAGTACTCAAGAGTAGTGAGTAGTGGGTATTACGCTGTAAAAGCTGATACGTTTACATGTAGTTTGTGGATGTGTGTAAACGTAAAATTCTGTAGTGCATATAGTTATTTCCCAGCAGGCACACAACATCATAAGACGTTAATATTAGGTCAGATTTAGGTTTTGATGTCAGGTGACCAAAATTCAATCTTTAGCCAGCGTCTAAGGACAACGATATTTTGAACGATATTTTAAACCAACGTCATATAGTAAACTCAAATGTTTATGCAGCTATTTACGCACAAATAGCGCCATTTTTTCACGCGTTCTGCGTCTGCTTTATTTATCTGCTTTAACTACACAGCATTATTGTCGAACCCTGCTTTTTGAAAATTGATTTTAAAATTATTTTCAACCAGCCAAAGTGGCTAGTGGGAGTGTCTGTCTAACCCGTCACTGCAGAACTCTTCCCGCATTTGGCGCGTGTAAGTGTTAAGCCCAATATGGTTTTGGAATTTATAATTAATATCATGTTCTAGAAAGTCAGTTTTGTGTTTACATATTACTGTTTACTTATTACCAAAACCGATTACAACTTATAACTTACTACAAAACATATTACTGATGTTTAAACTTATTATTGTGCATTATCAAATGAACAAAGTCACAAAAGAAACATGAACAATTAGAAATGACATGACAAATGTGAAAGAAAATATTTCAATATTTCACATTTTATAGAATTGACAGTAAAATACCAGAATAAAACGGTAACACTTTACAGTAAGGTTCATTAGTTAATGCATTTACTAACATGAACTAATCATGAACAACACTTGTACAGCATTTATTAATCATGATTGAACATTTACTAATGCATTATTAACATCCAAGTCTGTGCTTGTTAACATTAGTTAATGCACCGTGAGTTAACATGAACTAACAATGAACTGAATTTTCATTAACTAACGTTAACTAACATGAACAAATACTGTAGTAGATGTATTGTTCATTGTTTGTTCATGTTAGTAAATGCATTAATTAACATTACCTAATGAACCTTATTGTAAAGTGTGACCAATAAAACTAATCAAACAATACATGTGGAAGAAGAGCTGGTTAGATCTCTAGTTATTATGCCATATTGCATTAAAGAATACAACATGCATAACTGATTTCTTTTATTGCTTAATCACAGGTCTTTGTCGTCATATGTTTCACTAAGTACTTTATGACGTAAGGAATTTTGACCTTTCCAACAGGTTGCATTCCAGCAGTGCAGGTATTTCAGAGGATAAACCAATTACAGAGGATGAACCCACTTCTGTTATCAGACTAAAAAAAAACAATGTCATTCTTACATTACAGGAATTCTGATACTCCCCAGATTTGTTTTAAATAAAAAGATGTTTTTCGACAAAGATATTTACTGGAAATGTATTGCAAAATAGAAGCGTTTTACTTGTGAATCGTGGGCTACGTTGTATATAATCCAACATAAATAAAATTTATAGAAATTTATATTAAATATTTTCCCAGAGTTAGGTTGCGTCTGGAAGGGCATCCACTGTGTAAAATCGTGCTGGAAAAGTTGGCGGTTCACACCTCTGTGGCAACCCCAGAATAATAAAGGGACTAAGCTGAAAAGAAAATGAATGAATGAATATTAAATATTATAGCAGCTTTCCATCCTGCTATAGTTGAGTGCTTGATTTAATCTGCTGTGGTAATTCTATTCTGTTGCTGTGACAACAACTGTAAACAAATAACCAAATACATGAAATTCTCTATATTATACTACAATGCGCCACATTTTACTTTAGTGAACATTAAAGTGTACTACATTCATTAACCCTTGTGTGCTGTTGGAAGAGTTGGAATACTCAAACTTGGACTATGGAATTTGATTGGACTTGGAACTGTTATGGACTCGGATTTGACTCAAGACTTGTACATTTTGGAAATATTACAAGTACAATCGAGTCATCCAAAGCATGAATTAGAATTAATCTTGTAATATAAGCGCTGCAGGTGCCAAGCTGAGGCATCCTTTTCGCTTTTTTTCATGAAGCTTCTGAGAGAGTCATATAAGGGTTTTTGTCCGACTCTTACAACAGAGAGAGATAAAGAGAAAGCGGGCTGCTTCTCCCAATCCAGAGTGTGCGATACACAGCGGCAGACAGTTGAACTGGGTTTCCCCCTTGCCTGGTGTTCTTTGAGTCCGGTCCTCCAGAGAGGTTTGTGTTTTTCTGAAATTCCTAAAAGAGCAACATGGTTGTGCAGCACTTCTTTTTCAAGACATCACTCTGACTGTTTCTGGATGCAGTGGTTTCCTGTGCCTGGATGATGGGCATGAGTGGACATGTTGATGTGGTGCTCGCAGGCAGTGCATTGGCAAGTCTGTTCCACAGTTAAGATCGTGGCTCGCTCTTGCAAAAGAGCCACCAACCCCAGTTGTCCCCCGTTCTGCGGTTGGCACTAGGGCAGTTCTGAGGTTACAGTGGGAGTAAATTCACCGCCTTCAGGCTTGTGGACCTCTCACTCCTCCACACACTTCATCCAAGCTTCAAAAGTGAAAAGCGCTCCATCCTCGGATGGTCGCCCTCTCACTTGATGACACAAAGGTTCAGATGTCCCACACCGATTGGGTGCCCTCCAAGACTGCATGAGTTCTACAAAGCCAGATCCCATGCCATAAAACCATAAAAGTTCTGACCTTTAACCCCTCTGAGAGTCACTTACCTCGAAAGCAGTGACTTTCTAAATTGAAGAGAATCTACAGAAACTTTCTGATCAGTTGTTCAATATGTTTATCTCTAATCCCCCTTACCCTGGCCCAAGATATGGCCTGGGTCATTGTAAGCTGACATAAAAGTTCCTCTGGTGATATGTATATCTATAGAATTCATGAATTTGATCATGTCATGTTGGGTATCAATTTAAAACCAGTTAAACTCTGCGGACCCGGTACCGGGTCAGTGACGTCATCGACTTGCGCTTTAAGATTTAAGCATTGCACCAGACCCCCGTAAGGGGTTTCGTTTGAAAGTGTAGAATCTATATTTTATGCACATATGATATGCATCACTTTGGTTTTTATTCTACTCTACAAAAGTTATTTACTCTTAAATACACAGTATTTTGGATACCCGAGCTGGGTATTGAACATTGGTTCCTTTTCATATTTTTCATATGGTTCATATATGACACATGTACAAGTTATAGCTCAAATGAAGGCTCTTGCCGCTGCTCATACGGTTCTAACAATCTTTTGACTGAATTATATTCACATATCAAACAGTTGTCGAATGAATCACGCTGTCTCCATGGCGCAGAAGAGAAAACAATACATTTATGATCAATAAGCAGCCCCAGATAGCACAGACAGCTGTCATCTCTTACCTTATGCTGTGCGCTTCAGGGCCATTCTCCTCTGTTTTTGAGGTGATGTGCATAAGTAATCCTTTTATACGTCTAATGTGGTCCAAACACAGTGAATTATGTTTGATCAAACAAAAGAATAGTGAAATATGAAAACAATGATCGATCCCTGTGGCTTGTATAGCACCTCTCGTCAGTTGGAATATAATAACTTTATACATTATAGATTATGGTAGAGACATTTTTCTTTTTTCCTATGATTACAGACATGTGCAGGAACCACCAAAATTAATTACAGCAACCCTAGACCACACAGAACCTAAAAGGTACACTTTCAAATTTGAGTTTATAAAAAAAATACAAAAAGCGCTTCTTTTTTAGGTGTTTATTATAACACAGACAACATATACAGATATTTTAAACACTTTCAATAGTGTTTTATGAAAATTCTAAAAGTTTTCTTTAAAATTGAACCAAATTTTTGCATTTACACCTTTGCATGTAGATTTGGGAAGCTTTTACATTTGGGTAGGCAAAATCCAGGTGGAAATCCTAAAATAGCAGCAGAGTTTAACTGGTTAAAGGTCTCAGTGGGAGTGGAAATATGGTCTCAGTTCTATGTCAGTAGTGCAGACCAAAAATCTCAGTTTGGGCAGAATTTAGCCCTACTGATGAGTGAAATTGACTGTAACAAGATCTTTGTCAGGCTTTTGCTTTCTACTCCCGGTGGTAATTGGCTTTAGGATAAACTATAACCAGACAATGTTTTTAGTGACGTTTGTATTACCTTAAATTTCAGAGTATTTCTCCTAGACTGGTTACTTACAAAAAAAAATCGACAAAATTTCCAAGGAACAATCTGTATCCAGAACTTCTTACACAATTACATTATATCTCTGCTGCCAGGTATGCTGACTCTTTAAAACTTATTTTAATATTGTTCTGTACAGTATACAGTTATT